AAATGTTCCTCCAAATATCACTCACAAAGAGCGTGACCAGGTTCTCCTTCGGACCCTCAGACCGACTGAATGTTCAACGGGAAGTCCCTCAGACCAACCGCTCCTTCGGGGTCCGAACCACGCGGCGGTTCCCCCCCCAGACTTGTTCGCCGAACATGCCGTTCCGCCCAGGCCACACGTTGAGCATCTGCCGGAAGGTTAGCTTCCTAGGGTTCCGACCGAAGAAAAGGGATTGGCGACCGAAGCCTGGTGGAGTTTGGGGAGAACCTGGGTGTGTAGTTTACTTGGGAGAACCTCCAACCCTCTATTTACCTTATTCCAGAGGGTCTTGGGGAAGTCTCCCTATTTTAAAACGCACCCATATGACAAAACATCCTTTTTGGGCCACAGAGTTTCACCTGCCAGGTCGCATGTGAAGGGAACACGTTCCGATGATGCAACATTCCGTCTGATTTTGGAACGACTGCCATACACCCCCATATAGAGAGATGTAGTGTATAATTGTATGTAATTACTGCCTAATATATATATATATATGTATAGTATATGTTGTTGTTAGCTGTACCAAAGTCCCAGCTGAACCGTCCCACATGTTGACTCCACACAACCCTGCACAGTTGCGACCTGAACCAAAGCACCCGCCGCGCGACGCCAGCTGACCAAGTGATGACCATTGTTCCTAGTAGCGTCCTTGCTCCGTTCGTAGCGATGCCCTTTGTTCCAGGTAGCTTCTTGTTACTAGTAGTAAGGCCAGGAGCCCCTAGTAGCGTCCTTGCTCCTAGTAGCGATGCCCTTTGCTCCTAGTGGCTTCTTGCTACTAGTGATGGCCCTTTGCCAAGGATTAAGCAGCAACCTTCTTTGCGACAAATCACCGAGCTCATGGCAGCCAAAGCCCCAACACAAATCGAACACGTCTTAATCCAAATTATGTACAGCATATATGATTCAATTTAGATATATATATATATATTATATATACATATATATATATACTCCCAACTGTATATGCCAATATGATTAAAACATGTACGTCAATTCCATTGGGTCGGAAGTTCCAACTGCTTTCCGCCAGGGTGCTTTGCACTGCGAAGCACCAACGTCGTGGCGTTCGGCTCCAACTGCCCAAACTCCATCGCCTGGGTGGGAGAGAACAGGGGACCCTGGGTGGTTGGGCCCGTGGGTGTTCGTTCGGATCAAGCACCAGTCAAAGAGTATATATATATATATACAGTATATAAGAAGAAGCAAAGCTTTAACAGAACAAACTTCATGGAACTTGAACTCGGGCTGACTGTTAACTTGAACCTCTGGTCATACTGCTACAATCTGCTACATATCTACGGATTTCGCAACAACTGACTACAACCTGTGGGTGCTGGATGTCTACCACGAATTCCCTTTTCAAGTCAGTAGGGTGCGGCCTGGCCTACTGATTTGTCGAAACAATCCACTTTGAAAGACCGATTCAGGTACAAACCTCATGGATTCCAGTTGGACTAGCAGGTTGGATGAATCATTATGAATCTACAGAAACGATGGATCCCCTTGAAAAATAGAGGGCAATGCGTGATGCGTTCACTATGTAAGTAATTCAACCAGGAAAATCGATTCATGTTCTCTCACCCATCCAGCAGCAGTATTTGCAGTAAAAGTGCGTGTCCACTGCTTTGCCTACCGAGTATCTGTCTGAATCTTCTCATTGCATTCACATTCGTTCACCCAGTCCAGAAAGACTAATTGAGCTGCTTGCGGCCCGGATTCCCCCTACCCGCCGGCTGGTGCACTCCCACCGACCCGCCAAGGTGCAGTTCCGGTTGACATCGCCACCGGTAAGCCTTCTACTAGAGCCTTCGTCAAAACTCGATGAAATCCGGGCTGTTCCAAACGTCGGCAGCTGCGGTGCGGTTCCAAATCGACGTGGAAAGACCAGTTTCGGTCACTGGTACGTTGCGCCTTTGAGGTGTTTCATGGCGTTGAACATGGCATAAACTGTTGAATTTCTGGTGAAAAAACGCGGCCCTCCGAGTTTTTGACATGGCTCATAATGCCAAGCTGTGAGCCTCAGACCATGGGCGGTCAAGTCAGCAAGTCCGCCATGAACCGGCGAGGTGTTTCTCGGTGTTTCGACCGGGGTCTTCGACCGGTGTCTGGTCAGAAAACGGTGTTTGCGACCGGTGACATGTCTTCAGGTAAGGGACTTGTCTAAGGAGAATGAAACGTTTTTTCTCACCGGTTGACAGATGAAACGGTCAGACTTCTGGAGGCAACGGACATCGTGGAAGGGAATGAACATGACTGAACGAAGGGAATGTTTCCCTTCCGCAAACACATCTAAACTTCCTTCACTCCACTCCAGACATGGTTTTTCTTCCACTCCCTTCCGAAAAAACGACTCGGACGACTCTCGAGAGAATGGGTCCACTCTGGACCATGTTGAACCAGACTTCTGGGCCGACACCTGGAGGGGTCCGAACTGGGAAAAGGGCCCGAACACCTGCGGAGTGGGACTGCGAAGCCGCCGGGGTCTGATTTAAGCAAGAGGCGATGTTGGTACATGGTCTAGGAGTCTGCTAGACATGGAACACATAGGAACACCACCTTCCCAGGGCATGTAGCATCTATTCTGAACCTTAATTAGGCAAGAGGCAGGTGTAAAGGGGGCTACAGAAACAGGTCTTTGGCACCTACCCAATCGCTTGATCAAGGGCTGGGGACCAGGCAACAAAGCGCACAAGTGGATTCTGCATTGGAGGACTACCGAAGTCCTCTGTCTTTTGCAAACAGGTACCGGTTCAGATAACACAACATCCAAGGTGGATCTACTCTAAATGCATCAAGTGCAGGTTTTTGTGGGTCGTTTTTGTGGATCCCGTCTCTCGGGTCGTGCCATCTACCCACTGGTACCGGTGTTTTGGTCTTGGTATGTCCCGCTGAAGGGACGGTTGGAAGTGTTGACACTCTACCAACCCATTGTGCCTCCCGAATAAATACCCAAGTACCAGTGCCAGAACCCTTGAAAACTGCACAGTGACGGTAGCCCTGATGAAGAAATCTGGGATGGCTTTATGATCTTTATGTGTTCGACTCCATTCAGGAAATGTATACACAAATAACTATACCTGAAAGTCTGAAAGGTTCCTTTTTTTCCCCTACAAGAACCGAAGCTTCCAACCGGCCACCCCTGCCCTAACCACTCGAAGCCCGGGCCCCGCCCCACTGCCTGGGCCATTGGAGACCGCCCTCACCGGGCCCGTGAGGACGAGCCCGCATGTGCCGGGTGGTGCTGAGCTCGTCACTTGAGTCACTTGAGTCACTGTATGTGTGTTGCTTTCGTGCCTTGCAACACTCGCAAGCAGCTTAGGTTAGAAGCTAAGCTTTAGGCCATGTACTTCAATCTTCTAGGCGGTATGCTTTGAAGCACTGACCATTGTGCCTGACATAGTGGGATACTCGTGGATCCTTCACAAGGGCACCTGCCTAATGGCTGGAGGCAAAGAATCCCACGGCGAGATGGGAGACCACAAGTTCTTTGTGACCTGTTCGGCACAGCACATGACGTTGGCGACTGAGAACAGGTCGCTGCCAGAGCGTTGTGACTACTACGTATACGAACCCGAAACTCTCCGAATACAAACCACCCTGCAGTTCATTCTCTACCAGCATGCAGGTGGTTCCCTCTCTCTCTCTCTCTATTTCTCTCCCCCGCCAGCATGCAGGCTTTCACTGTTTCAGGCGCATCATACCCTGAATGTAACACTTCAACAGTTGGAGATTCCCCAATACATGCTGAGACAACCTCCCTTCTTCCAGGTGCTTCACCAATCTCAAATGATGCAGTCTTCCATCAGCTTGGTGACTCACTCCACATGGGTCACTCACGGCCGACACGCGGCTGTGAGTGAAAGGAGAAAGCATCCAACAAACGGCCCAGCGAACTTCGCCGAATGGAGAGCCCTAAGCGGATGAGAAGAAAACACCCATGAAAACGGGAAAGAAAGCGGAGCCGTCAAAGGAGTTGTGAGAAAAAGGTGACGACCAATGACCCATGACCAACGGATAAAACAGTAGCCTCTCAGAACTTGACGTGTGGACACATGATGAACCACGGATCAATCAGTTTGGGTGCCAACGACACTGGATCCGGCGACTCGGCACGGAGTCTGAGAAAGATTGAGGAAGGCTGCGCTGGGTTGTGAACAAGATGGGTTGGGCTTCGACATGTCCCTGACATCTTCCGTCTGAACATGTCTGAACACATTGCCACATTGCCAAGGCGTCTGAACACACGGCGACCCCCAACCGCGTCGCATGCATCACGCACAAACCTCCAACCGCTGGCGTCGCGGACTCCGGATCACCGCCGATCAGATCCCGTCTGGAAGCGACCGAAAACAACGCGGGGCCCCGCTTTTCGCTCACTCCGCGCTCACTCCGCTCTGAGTCTATCTCGACCGGATTGTGATGTCGCCCGAAACAAGGCGATGAATCGGTGGTCGTGGTGGTTTTATGATGTTCCATGTTGGGTTCAATAGACAAACACCAAAATCCCAAAGTTGGGTTCACAAGCAGCAAGAAGCTACTAGTAGCAAGGACGCTATTAGGTGCATGCCATCGCAAGTAGGTTGGAGGCCATCGCTACTAGGAGCAAAAAGCTACTGGTAGCAAAGACGCTATTAGGTGGAAGCCATCGCAAGTAGGTTGGAGGCCATCGCTACTAGGAGCAAGAAGCTACTAGCTGCAAGGACGCTACTAGTAGCTCCTGGCATTACTACTAGTCCTTATGTCATGCTGGGTTGACATCAGTGAGCACCCTCCGATCGACGTATCTCGTCGCCACACGCTCCAAGCTCGCCAGGGCTAGTTCTCAAGCTATCCCAGTTCTCTGCCCCAAAAAGACAACAGCCCACCTTGGAAGATGATGTTTCGTGAGAAGTAGGCGATACAATTTCTCCTGTCTTTGGAATCGAACCAACACACACATTGGACAGCGTGTCCTGGTTCTCGGCGCTCGTGGCCCTAGACATGACCTTGCACGTGGGCGACAAGACATGCACGGCAGTCACCTGTGGACCGCACTGGTCATTCCCAGAACCTGGGCAGGATGGCGACAGGACCAGGCTCTGCACCTACCACTTCTGGGCGTACAATTTCGGGTACAAGGTAGATAACGGTGCACGTCTTCTCAACTCTGTTCGTCGGGTCGAATTGCCGAACTCGGAAGCTTGATGGACCTTGCGGCCCTCGGAGGGCCCCGTTGGGCCTAAGCGTACCACACAGCACTCGTCGGGCCCCCCATTTCGGCACCTCCTTTCGCGTGCCTTAGGACTCGATCAGAAGCTTTCCTGCGCTCGCATGTTCCCGACGGAGGGGCGTATCGCAACGCGGTGAACGGGGTCACCGTGGAATCGCGCGGGCCGCGGGCCCATGGAATCAGTGGTCAAAACGAACAAGAAGACGCAAATAACCCGACAAAACGCATTTTTTGCGACGCAAATAAGATTCTTCTGCAACCCAGTGACTGGTAAGTACAGTACCGCAAGTTATGTCTGATCCGGTTTGAAATAGATATGCACAAAAACAGGAGAAAGAAGAAGAAGAAGGAGAAGAGGAAGTTAAGAAGAAGAGGGGCACCGTGTAGATCATCAAGCTGGGTATGCATCAAATGTACGAAGATTGTTCTTCCTTAAAAATCCTAAGGTAGTATCCTGACACCAAAAAGTGAACGCATTTCTACACCGGACTGCATGGCCCGCCTTTCTGCAGGAATTGGAAGACCGCAGTGGCCACCTGTGCAAACTGAGTCTACCTCACCTCTACATCTTTCAGGGTGGGAAATTCACCACCTTCCCTCCCATGACATTGGTCCATGAGTATGGATCTTGGATCTTCGATCAGAAACATGTCTTGGGGCCTTCCACTTTGCAGTCATTCTTCTTTTGCTTGAGAGAGATGAGGGTGAAAGCTCGACCACCTTGACCACATCATCCCACTACCGCCAGAATACCATCGGCGACCGAAAAATACACGTTTGCACCAGCTGGGGTGACGGAACTCATTTGGATGGGTCATGGCACGGTCATGGCGCCCGTTTTCACCGCTACGGTTGACCACCTCCCAGGTAGTGCTTCACTTCCGGTCCACTAAGGTCTGGTTGAAAGACCGCCAGTTCTCAAAGTGGGTGGTTTTGTCACACTCAAAAGACATTTGTCTCAGGTTTACTTCGGGAGTTGCAGGTCTAATCCATTCTAATCCTGCAGGTGTAGGGTTCTGTCCATTGTACGTCTACATGCCCCATCACCATATTTAATCAAGAAGAGAAATCAACATGCAAACTAGACACCTGAAAAACGTGGAAACAACCTGCCCGTGAAAGCTGCCCAGAGCACAGGTCTTTTTGTATCTTTTTGTATGCAAGTGCTCACAAGGAAAGATAGAGCCTGAGAAGTCAGAGGTCAAATAACAATGGATTAGACAATAGAGGACAATAGAGCTTTTAAAAACACTTCTGGTTTGCCTTGCTATCCCCCCAAAAAAAAAGGCCTTCATTCGGATGCTTGGAGTGGAACCAAATCTCCAAATCGTTATAATATTGAAAATAGAAGCGGTTTTATGTTAGAGACAGCGCATCTTTTACATGAACTTTTGCATGAAGGGTTGTTTTGAAGCAGATCTCTGCTCCTTTTACATTTGATGCTCCCCAAGCTTGGGGAGCACTACGATATCCCCCGACACGCTGGCGGCCACACTCCTCCGGAACCCAAAAAACATGCCACCGCTACCATGCAGCATGACCCTTCTGAAAAGAACATACTGTAACAAACACAACTGGTGAACGGGTAACTCCCCTCTCAGCCCTCCAATTGCAGTTGTTTTTGTCTTCTCTCGCTCCCACTCGGTTCTCCGCGCCAACGAAAACGCTGGTCCGCACCTCTTGCTGCTCAGGGTTCTTGTCCGGATGCCACTTCCGCAGCAAGGCCCGGAATTCCCTCACTCCCCGGCATTCCGTTCCGGCAAGGGCTTTTTGTGGGCGGCCCCGGCAGAGTTGTGGAGCGAGTCAGAAGAGGGACGAAAACATCGGGGAGAAAGGCTGTGGCAGGAACCCTGGACGGGTGACGTGATTTTCAGGACCCCCACGTTCCACCGAGCCGGCGACGCGACGGATGAGAGGTGCCAAGAATCCTGGATATTCTTAGAACTGAACCAGGTGACCAGCGCTGGCAAGCATTAAGTAAGTGATCACTGGATCGAACCTGGTGAACTGTGAAGCCTCTGTGGCTCCGTCTGCAGATCATTGTCAAGGTGCTTGGAGCGGTTCTCTTTGGACTCGATCTCTTTCAGTTTCATCAACTTTTCCAAGGCCTCGAGCGACATCTCCGGCGGACAGCTCGAGATCCGGCGCGGACGTCATCCAGAGTCTAATCCCTCCATCAGTGTCTGACGGGTAGCCACGGAGTCACCGCCCGCTTGACTCCTAGATTGTGGTATTTATCTCATGGTGGCAGCGAAGTTATTTGTTCAAATGATTCAAAATCTCTGATTCAAATAGTATGATTCTCCCATTAGTTTAAACAAATGTTATCCGATCGGTGATCCGATTCACTAAATGGGTTCCCTCTGGAGGTCGACTTCTTCTGAGCTGGGCCAGGGTGTCAACGGCGCTTCTTCGCTGGTCTCGACCCGGTCCTCGACCTCGAGCCGGTCGTTAGTTCAAACGATTTGACGTTCCAAAGGTCGGGACTCAAAGCTCGAACATGCAGGGTTCTGCCGTTCTGCTGTTCTGCCCAGTGGTCGCTGTGGAGCTGTGAGACCCACAAAGCAGATCATCCCACAGGTCAAAGACTAGAAGACCCAGATTTCCCGAAGTCACATGGATCCACTGGGACTCAGGCTTCAGGCTTCCCCATGGAAGCAAAGCTGCAGAAGTGATTTCATCATCTTTGCAGGGGGACAAAAAAACCCTACAAGTATAGGAAAGGACCGTCGGGAGACCTGCAGGTCATTTTCACATCATCATTCCAGACACTCCATGTTTTTCGCAAATCACATCACATCCGACACATCCGTGTCGAAACCTGCTCCCGTCGCCCGCGCCACCTGGACTCGTCACCCTTCGACCCGTCGAGACCGACCGCCTGAGCTTTCGCCGTCTCGATCTCCGGATTCGTCTCCTGGCGTGAAAGACGCACTCCTTCTTCGGCGAGCTCCGTTGGGTCGGCGGGTCGGTCCGTCCGATTGGATGCCTGGGGACCCCACAAAAACATTGCGACGGAGCACCTAACGATGGACTTCCAACAGAGCTAGGTTTTGCCATCTCTTCCTTCTGCGTTCCAGACCGCAGTTTCTCCCATCTCCCATCTCCCGCTGTCCGACGGTCCGGACCGTGAAAAACGAGGGACCGGCGCGCCTGGCCGCTGGTTTTGTCCGGATCCTCCTTCAGCGATCGTACACTGCTCCTGGATCCTCGGAAGGGGCATGGAGTCTGGATTCGTCACCACCATCCAACCATCTGGGTGCTGCTCGACTACCCTAGACTACTTGATTGGAGATCTGACTCCAGAGAGGACACCCAGACAGCATGGTCCAGCTAGGTGTGGTTCTTGGTTTGCGTGTCCCATGTCCAGGCCCCATTCCTTTGAGTGACTTGGATAATGATGACATTTGAGAGGAACGATCATTGATGTGAGAGGTGAGAGGTGAAAGGTTCCCTCAAAACACAAAACCGCTGAAAGAGCTGTCAGATCCAAAACAAAAAACCAGTCGACAGTGGGGAAGGAGATTGCCAAATGGATCTAGTTACTATGTTTAGGCAGTATGAGTCAAGAGTATGACACTTCTCGAATTGAGGCTCGTGACTGACATGGTTCATCATTGGCCGATCTCGCTACCCTCGGCAAAAATAGAAACAACAAAATACTCATAGTCATTTTAAAAAATTACACCAGGATAGACCCAGATAGCTAGGCAGGATCCCACGACCTGTTGACATGCGACTGGCTGGAACAAGAATGTACGCAGCCTGCACAGCCAGCTTACGGCACCTCCACAGCGCGCACAATCAGCTACCAACACCGGTGTGCTTTGCCAGCTGACAACACCGGCAGCGGCGCCAGCACCCGACCAGTGCCGCCGCCCATCTTAAACGCACGCTCAGACAGCTCACAGCACCAGCACCCAGGACCACAACACCGGCACCCAGCACCATCCTCTCCACCAGGCGCGCACTCAGCACCCAGCACCGGCACCCGGCACCGCCACCACGCGCACAGCCAGCACCGAGCACCAGCACCGGAACCCTGCCTCCACCACGTGCACAGCCAGCTCACAGCACCAGCACCGGCACGCAGCACCAGCACCAGCGCCGGCACCCGGCACCAGCACCAGCAACCTGTCTCCACCACGTGCACAGCCAGCTCACAGCACCAGCACCAGCACCGGCACCCGGCACCCAGCGCTCACAGCACCAGCACCGGCACGCAGCACCAGCACCAGCACCGGCACCCGGCACCAGCACCAGCAACCTGTCTCCACCACGTGCACAGCCAGCTCACAGCACCAGCACCAGCACCGGCACCAGCACCCAGCACCCAGCACCAGCACCAGCAACCTGTCTCCACCACGTGCACAGCCAGCTCACAGCACCAGCACCAGCAACCTGTCTCGAAAGCGCGCACGGGCAACTCATTGTTATTTGAAGTAAGAACCCCATAGCTTCCCTAGAGACGACGTACGACGTTGGTCAAGGCTTCCTACACGTACAGTTCATCGTTCCATCAAGAAACCATCTCCACTGACACCTGTTTCGAAAATTCCTTGTGGAGTTCAATTAGTTTCAATCTTCTATTTCTGAGCTGAGTCATCATCGTCTCCATTTCGCCCGACACAGAAAATACACCAAATTAACCCAGCTGACAACCCCAATAGCAAAGCATCCACCAAGATCTGGCGCATTCTTTCTGCGTTGTTGGTTGCATCGTTCTTTCACTCTTCGATTATCGAGGAGAATTTGTTAAAAAAAATACACCAGCATAGACCCAGATAGCTAGGCAGAATCCAACGACCTGTTGACATGCGACTGGCTGGAACAAGATGTACGCAGCCTGCACAGCCAGCTTACAGCACCAGCACCGGCACCCAGCACCCAGCACCAGCACCAGCACGGGCACCCGGCACCAGCACCAGCAACCAACCTGTCTCCACCACGTCCAGCACCGGCACCGCCATCCGGCACAGCCAGCTCACAGCACCAGCACCAGCAACCTGTCTCCACCACGTGCACAGCCAGCCCACAGCACCAGCACCGGCACCCAGCACCCAGCACCAGCACGGGCACGGGCACCAGCAACCTGTCTCCACCACCCGCACAGCCAGCTCACAGCACCGGCACCAGCACCAGCACCAGCAACCTGTCTCCACCACGTGCACAGCCAGCCCACAGCACCAGCACCGGCTCACAGCACCAGCACCAGCACCCGGCACCCAGCACCGGCACCCGGCACCAGCGCCACCAACCTGTCTCCACCACGCGCACAGCCAGCTCACAGCACCAGCACTGGCACCCAGCACCAGCGCCAGCAACCTGTCTCCACCACGCGCACAGCCAGCTCACAGCACCGGCACCGGCACCCGGCACCAGCACCAGCAACCTGTCTCCACCACATGCACAGCCAGCTCACAGCACCAGCACCGGCACCCAGCACCCAGCACCAGCACGGGCACCAGCACCAGCAACCTGTCTCCACCACGTGCACAGCCAGCTCACAGCACCGGCACCCAGCACCAGCACCAGCAACCTGTCTCCACCACGTGCACAGCCAGCTCACAGCACCGGCACCAGCACCGGCACCGGGCACCAGCACCAGCAACCTGTCTTCACCACGTGCAAGCTCACAGCACCAACACCAGCAACCTGTCTCGAAAGCGCGCACGGGCAACTCATCGTTATTTGAAGTAAGAACCCCATAGCTTCGCTATCTGGGGAATAAAAGAAAATACACTCCAATAGCTACAACATCCAAACTAAATTTATCGTCCAAAAACCACGAAGCACTTGAGGAATGTTTGCCGATTGCCGAATTGTGTGTTCAAGTGCTCAAGTGTCTGCACATGGTGCATACGTCTGAAGAACGAATTCTTTACAGCACATTACAGCACGACAAAAAGATTCGCACCAAAGAGAGGTGTGTGTGTGTGTATTTTTTCGCATATGCGCGCAAAGTCAATTCTGACAGATAATGAGAGGAATCAAGACTATATAGAAGATAAGAAGATATTATCACCAAACCAGACAGAAAGTTCAGTTGAAGACAAACGCATATTTCATACACGAAACATACAATGAATGCAGTTGTCAGAGGGACCATACTTCAAGATTTGGCAACAGGGAAGGTACAGTTTTGGACATGCACGTGCATTGTTTTTACAAAGTACTGACAAGCAAAGAGGACGCTTATCAAGAGTAAACAGAAAAACGACATCCAAGCAGTGGATGTACACGAACGATGCAAGAAACGCAGTGTTAAGCAAGCAGATTTGCACACCTCGAAAACAATTTTCGACCAACAACAAAACATGTTTGAAATGCAATTTTTGCACAAAGTTAAAAACAAGTCCAGTACCCAAGCCCGATGGTCGAATTGTTTATTCGAGCGCCTGTGCAAAGTCCATACATCTGAAGAACTTATTCAATACATTACAACAACAAAAGATTCGCACCAAGGAAGAAAGGCGTTTTAATATCTAAGGGCACAATCCCTTCTCAGACAGAGAATAAAGAGGATCTAAGTTCAGACAGACGACAGGAACCTATGATTGTCACCAAAGGAAGAGGAAAATGTATTGAAGGACAAACGCACAATTTCTTTCTACGCAAAAAGTGCCCTGAATGCAGCGCGCAATTACTAGCTAGCTAAGATTTTTACGATACCAAAACAAAAGATGTTCCTCTTAAGTCTTAAGCGAAACATTTTTTTGCATGTCGACGCATATTCTATACACTAGGCGCGAACCGATGCTTAAGCGCCAGCACGCAATGTGCACCAGGTGTATGTACACGCAAGCGCTCAGTTCATACACGCACCAAGATTGAGACCGAGACACAACCACAACACAAGCGAGACACAACCAAAAATATCTGCGAACCTTCGCCACAAAACCGGCACACCACCAAAACAGCAAAATAGAACACAAAACGCCACGAAAACAAAACCGGCACAACGCCCAAACACGAGCGAGACACCGAAACATAAACGACATACCGAACATGACAGAAACACTGCCTAACATCACCAAGACACCACCTCATGACCGAGACTCCTAAACATCACAGAGACACCACCAAAACATGACTGAGAGACCACGTAAACATGACCAAGACCTCACCCAAACTTGACCGAGACACCACAAAACATCACCGAAACACCGCCTCATGACCGAGACTCCACCTAAACATCACCGAGACCGCCTAAAACATGGCCAAGACACCACCTAAACATAAACGAGAGACCACAGAAACATCACTGAGACACCACCTCATGACATAGACTTCACATAAACATCACCGAGACCACACGTAAACATGACCAAGACGCCACCTAACCATGACCGAGACACCGCCGAAACATCGGCACCCAGCCGCCTAAAGAGTGTACAACCCCAAGCTATCGCTATTGGGGAAAAACATACCCCTGGCAAAGCCATTCTTGGATCATTACCAAAATGACGTTATTAGGTGGAGGCCATCGCAAGTAGGTTGGAGGCCATGGCTCGGAACAAGAAGCTACGAGTTTTCGCTCACACTCGGGGCGGCTGTCGTCCAACCGGGGTGACCGGGCTGGATGAGCTGGAGGAAGAGCTACTGGCGCGAGGAAGACCACATCACGAGGCTCAAAACCGTGTATCACATCCCGCGTGAACCGTCACATGGAAGTGGGGGCTGCCCTGTGTTTCAAGGTTCAAGAGGAAACAGTCTTGAAGGTCTTGAAAAGAAGGGTCGTGTTTCCACTTCCCTGTTCGTGAGTTGGATTGAACATGATTGAATCTTCCCAAAAGCCCCGTTGAACGGGTGAACATCCCTTCCTGCTGCGCCTGGGGGTCTTGGGATCTAAAGTTCGGTACATCGACCCGACTGGATCCTTCGATGGTTCCCTACAAATCCAGTCTGACCCAGGACCAAACCTGGTCGGCTTGACCTCCTTGAGTAGTGCTTTTGAATGACCAACTCTAGTAAAATGTCAAACTGACCTGCAGGGGTTTGAGAAAGATCAAGAGTTTTGCCAATCGGGTGACCAGGTCGCCCAAAATTCCATCCAACCCATCAATTCTGAAGGTTTGAGCTCCCAGGTTGAGGTGACAAATAGGCCTGTAAAGGGCTAAAAGGTCACTTAAGAGACTCCAAAGAGATCACTTTGAAGGTCCTGATGTAAGGATTTGGTGTGTTTTGTGGGAGGAACCCCTCGAGCAGTTCCACCAGATCAAAACCACCTACATTGGTCTGCTCTTTCCTTCATCAGGCAATTCTTTCTGAACCGGTGAGCCAACTCTGATCTCTGCACGGCAAATGGGAACCTCCAAAACGGCTGCACGGGTTCTCTAGCAGGTAGATCGAACAGGTGTCCATTGGACGCCCCTTAAGCTAAAAACCATTGGACGCCCCTTAGAAATCTAAGTGTTTGACAAGTGCTTTAGAGGGATCCTCGTGTAGAATCACAACTTTTGTAAGGGATACTTGTGAATGGACTGGATTTGGGGAATGTACCAACCAAGGGTCGATCACCGGTACGATTCGGGTCGATTCAGGTCAATCGCCGACGTGCCCTGAGGCAAGACCCAAAGGAAATCCCGATGTAAGATTTCCAAGTAACACATCCCCGATGTAAGAGAACCAAGTAACAATCCCGATCTAAGAAAACAACGTGAAAAAAAACGTGAGCCGCCTGCGTGTCAATCCGTGTCATTCCGTGTCGGTGGCCGAAACCCGAGGAAACCAAGGGGTGCTCATTGGACACCCCTTAAGCCTAAGGGGTGTCCAATGGACACCCCTTAGGAAAACCCGATGTAAGCCCACACCGTGTCATTCCGTGTCATTCCATGTCGCCCGATCTCGATTTTCGTGGTTCAGCCCATCGGGATTTTTTTCACTTTGTTATCTTAGATCGGGATTGTTACTTGGTTCTCTTACATCGGGGATCTGTTACTTGGAAATCTTACATCAGGATTTTCCTTTAGGTCCTGAACTACGAAGGGGTCCAGATGTCGAGGTTGGCCGCGGCACCAGGGCGCGTGGCGGATCGTGAAAGATCGATCGAGACCCAGGGTGGACTGGTTGGAGGCGTTTTCGCATTGGGAACCTTAGTTTTTTGTGGGTCCATCATTCTTGGCTTTAAGGGGTGCTCATTGGACGCCCCTTACAGATATATGAACATCAAAACTCATTAGACGCCCCTTTGATTCGTATGTTTAAAGCACAAAAAACAAAAACGAAGTCCAAGATTGTAAAAAACATGGATCCCTGATCCCTTGTTGAAATTGAGCTTGGGGCCATCTGCTGCTCTGAAGTTGATTGTGGTTCTGCTCTCCGAGAGCTGCTCTCCCAGAGTAACGAACCACAGAGCCTATTTCGACCATTTGTAATACACGGTGACGTCACCCCCCCACCACGCCTCCTCCCCTTGTGTTTCTTGTGCTTCTTCTTCTTCTTGCGCCTGGAGATTCTCAGAAGGAAAGGAAGTCGTGGTCGAAAAGTCGTCATTTCACAGCAGATGTTCGGGCAAACCTGCTCATCTGAAGAACCTCTTTCAGGGAACCTGGGCCTGTTACTCTCTCTTTAATGCCCCATGCAGAGGCTCACAAGTTCAGATGATCACCTCCATGTGGAGGCTCAGATGCACAACGGGCCGGAGCTGTACCCTGTCCACAGCTGCGGTAGTGCACAATCGAATTGTGCACAATCTAAAACCCAGATTGGGCAAACTTGGCCATTGCAGGGCGCAATCGAATCTGGCTACGGGCTTCCTGAGAATTCCAAGCGGTCTCAAACATGTTCGAAGAGAAGAACCCACAGCTGCTTTTGAAGGATCGTAGGCCATTGTAAGCTATGGGTGCATCCTGGCTTGACGTCCCTCTTTCTGCACATCCATCCCCTAGACAACCCGTCTCATCAACTAAAGACCTCACAGCTTCACGACACTCGCCCTGGCCTGTTGCCACTACTGCTGGAGGAGCTACTGGCAGATGGCAAGTGTTTCGGCTGTGTCTTGGAGGAGTGGAGAGCTATTTAGCGCATCAATGGATGATCGGTCTTTTCGAGGAATGCTTTCAGGAAGCTGGACAAAGGAACGCTTTCGCATCAGTGTTCGGAACACCCGCCAGATTCCCAACCAAGTGACATACCTGATGCTGGTGTCAATACCTCATGACACCCATATGGCCCCGAAGAACGCCCCTCACTTGGTTGAGGGGACGATAGGGGGCCCGTTGGCGACCAGAGGTTCTACCCCACCCAGTGGACCACACGACGTCGCTGGGAGTCCCAGTGGTTAGACTACAAGCACAGACCTATAGAAAACCCCTGGTTCCCCACATATCCACCTGGCTTTTTGTGTTTTTTCATGGACCCACCTGGGCCCACACATCCGCTCAGCCACACTGCTCAGCCAAATGAAAAACACGTCCACCCATGGAAATGGGTGGACCTGTCGTTTCAGACGTAAACGGTCCCTGTAAAATCACCTGACCGTCCGGGTTTGCGCACACCCTCTTTTCAGTACTAGTAGGAAGATACAATTGTTTTCCACCCAAAGTGCCTCAGAAAGTCCAAGCACCTATAGTGTCAAAAGTGCTTGTTCATTTTGCTTCGGAGGCAGCATCATCGACTCAAATCTCTTCAGCAGCCTCGCCTTTGGAGTCAGTCGATTTTTCTGAGTCGATGGCTCCGGGAGTTCTACTGTTGAGCCGAAAAAACGAAAAGAATTTGGACCTTGCTCCTCACCCAGCAACCCCGAAGGACTCCGAAACCAACGACAACCCAACGGCCACAAGGTTCGGGCCCCGTGTCCGGCGCCTGGAGTCCGGGCTCTTCCGGCTGCGACCTCGGTCGAGGCAAAGCCGTGGTTCGTCCAATGAGCACGGTGGACAGTGGCCCCAAAGCCCGCAGTTGCCCCGTGGTGGTGATTGAATTGTATAAACAGCCTTCGGTGATCAAGATCCTGACTACTGAATCTTGCAGCAATCCGAACTTCAAGCGCGAAGAAATCGAGGGTGAAAACACCACAGTTTGTTGGCAGCAAACAGTGGCAAGCCTGGCAATAAGTGGACAATTTGTTCACTGAAAACTGCTGTGAATTTGTCACGGATTGCAGGCTTTCCGCCGAACTCGACCCAACCATGTGGGTTGCTAGACTAGGAACTGCAGAAGTGCTGGTCCCTGAGAGTAGCCGTGAACGTTTTTCAGACAGCTACAGCCAACAGCCTTGCAGCTTCCTGTGGAGTCCATGACCACCTGCAAAAACATAAAAGTGTCAGCTGACAGGCCAGGTTCCAACCGATCAAAGTTCAGTACCAAAACCATTAAAACCAATGCTTTGGCCGCCCAGGGTTTTGTGGCCTCCGATGGCCAAGTCCAAAAGTTACTAGGATCCAATCATGCCTGAGGTTGGCCCAAGGGCCATGTAGATGAAACACCACCCTCACCATTCCGCTGGCTGACAGTGCCTAGGAGCTTCTCTCGGAAGGTGACGGCTTGGGCGCCGCTGCAACCCCACCAAGAGCACCCTGCTTGTACCTGTGAGGAGTCGCTTGCATGATGCTCAATGAAAATCTCAGCCTGATAGCTTACAAGCTTTAGACGCACCCAAAGCCAGGCAACCATCATTTTCACCACCTCCAGGCCCCCACAGACTCACTTTCTATTGGATGAGGCAACATGGAGACAAGGGGCAAGGGCGAGTGGCGAAGTCTAGGGTTCGTTGGCTCACACCACTCTCAGCTCATGTCCACTGTCAGTCAGCTGGTAAGGTCTAAGTTTTGGTGGGTGCTTTTGACAAGTAGAAATCGTCCCTCCTGTAACTTCCAACACCTTGTAAGCAAGCAATTGGGGCACTCCGTGTGTCATGTCCAAATGTCTTCCTTCAACACCAGTGTACCCTTGCCCCTTCTCTTCTACTGCTGACGGCTCCACTGAGGCTAAGGGGATATAGCGCAGCGCAGGTCAAGCCGATGCAACTGCCCACTACCTAGCTGCATGCAGATCGGGCGCTCGGCTTGCCTCAGTCCGGCGTGCCTCAGCCCCTTCCACTTGTACTACTGCAAAGGCTTTCAAGCCGCTTCCGCAATCTCACCACTGTTAAGAGAGAGATGGGAAATTGACCTTGGAAGTTCGCTTGGGTCACACAGGCCACATTACTTCGGCCCCAGTTGCTGCATCGTACAGATGACAACAATCACGCAGAAGACATGCCCGGACCGTAGGTCCCAGAGCGGACCTTGTTTTGTGTCCCTGCTCCCTAAGACGCTTGGCTAACTTCCTAGTAAGAAAGGCACATCCAAGTAAGCAGTGCACGACTCATTGATGGACTGATATTGTTTCAGAAGGTCACCCTTCCACTTGGGTCATAGCTAGAAGGATACAAGCTAGGGGTAGCGCAAGTTGAGTGGCCACAAATCTGCTGTCAGCTGAGTCAGCTAATGGCCTTGTTCTCGTAGGACCAACAACCGTGCGTCCCCGATCACCCCAACTGATCTGCAAACATGGCATACATATGGCATGGATGGAGCAACCTAGGCATCAACCTCCCTGCAACCTGTCAACTGATGTCAACTGTGCAGAAGTGGATGACGCCAGAGGCAGGAAACCGAGCCAGGAAACCACTGGAGTCAGGAGACCGCGTTCGAAACTGGAAACTGAATACAGTAAGGAAACTCGAGTGGCACAGTCAAGAAACCGAGAGAATCCAAATGTTGGAAGGTTCCTAACTTGGAAGTACAAGCCAAAGCGGAGAGTCTGGCACCGCAGGAGGGACGTGGGCTTTAGAAAGTTCTCCAAGCTATGAGTCGGGTAGAAGCCTTGTCTGTTTCTGACCTTGAAGGGGTGCAGGGGTGCCCAGATTGGGGTCCAGAGAGCCAAAAGCACGGGTCCCCACTGGTTCAAGGGTGGAACGGTTTCATGCACGGCCTCCCTTGACACACCGGAAGGAAGCGCAACCCGCAACCTTTCTGGGAGCCAGGTTGAAAGCCAGGGAAAGAAAGCTAGCTCAAATCATATCCGTGAAGCCTTAAACCAAGCCCAAAAGAAACCCTAACAAAGCGTCGCAGCATAACTCTCAAGGTTGGTACCCGGGGTACCCTGGATCAAAACCCGCAATCCCGATCCTCGGCGTTTCTTTTGGGCGTTCCGACCTGTCAGTGGGTTGGGGTGGCTCCAAACAATCTCGTGACGGTCTCAAGCAGGGAATCGATCCATCCGCAAACGCTTCAATGCCTTCATCTTTACCTCATTGTAGCCCACTGTGCAAGACTTTTTTGAAGCTCATGCACTCGTTTCGGTCCGACCGGGGCCCTGGATTGTACATCAGGTAGAGGTTGTTGTTATATATACATCTCTCACAAAGACGCCGTGCACGTGCTCTTTTTGAGGTGGTTGCCCAAATCTTAGCATTCTGAACCCGACTGAACCATTGTGCCCATGGGCATTCAAAAAAGACCGTCTAACCAACCTTCAAGGCGCTCTTTCTCTCTCGTCTACATGTATAAGCTCGTTCAAACCCACTCGCTTACGGCTTCCTCACCTGTCCTGCCACCGCTTTGGGCGCACATCTCTCTCATCGCGCGAGAGCCCGCATGGGGCGACAAGGTCCGCTTCGGCGCAGGCGTCACGACTGGCCACGAGGCCGGAGTTCCGTGCAACAAGTCTGCTCCGCACATTCCACCCACGTTCCACAGCTGAACCTCCCTAGACCTCTGCTTTTCAGACTTCATGTCTTGCATACAAACAGAACAGTCAGAAAGGTACCGTGGAGGAGCGCATTGGATCATGTCCACAAGTGCGTCTACTCAACGACAAGGGTGACACAGGTAGCTCTTTCTGCTAGGAGCAGCTCTTTCTGCCAAGCCATTCCAAGCCTAGTCCCGCCTACGTCTTCATGGTACATCCATCGCCCTTTCAAGAGGTCCTCCTGTAAAAGAGTAAGTAGCCAATGAGCACCCCAAATTAGGTGCTTTTATGGATCATCATCTCACTTTTGCACCAACCAGCTCTGCATCATCAGACCATCTGACTCATAGACTCCTGCTCTAGTTGAGCATCCTCTTCTGGTCCCAGTGTCCCAAAGCTTCCCCCACCTCAGACTCATCCTTGCGATTCCAGCCATCACTCTGAATTGCTACAACTCCCTCTTCTCCCTCAGAGTGAGACCCCACAATCCCAAAAATCCTCCACACACGCAGCCACCCAACACATCATGAGATCAAGCCGACCCGTTCGGCTCGAGCTGCCTACCCGCTCGCCGCTCGACGTCCCGGACCCGACGCCGCGCCGCGCCTGGCGGCGCCGCCACGGCCTCCCCGACCTCCGGCGGCTTCACCGCCTTGCCTCGTTGGCGAGGGAACATCGGTGGGAACCATTTGGAGCCTGAGATTGTGGGAGTGACTCAAAAGATCTCAAAAGAATCTATTGAATATTATAGGTGTCCGGGGAATCAAAAAGCATATATCTAGGTGTTGTGGATGGGTTGCAAGCGCGAACATGAGTGACCTGACTTAGGGGCAGTGCCCTGACGTCATGATTGAAAAGGAGCCGTGTACCCAGCGGCCGCCGGTTCATCAGCTGCTCAGGTTCAGGTGCCCCGAGTCACAAGGCACCGTCAGATGCCAACCAGATGAGTGTCCATCGCACACAATCAGGGGGAACGCACTCTGCAAGAGGCCTGTATACTGTTGATGATTGAACTGCCCCCCCCATATGGAGATGCTTTACCATCCAGGTAGAGGGCTTTTAGACAACAGCCAACCGGTGCGTAGCTAGCTTCGGTATGCCGCCAAAGGCCCCCTCCCTGGACTCGGACGTTCAGCGTCGAAGCCTCACACGCTGAACCGGGCTGGGTACCGGGCATTTGAAGCACTCCAGACGCTTCATGAAGTTCCGCTCCCCACCTCATAAAAGCCCGAACAATGTTCCGCACAAAACGAGTGAAGGCGCAAGAGGTCAATGTTTTTCTTGGATTTGACTCAAGGAACATGATGATACAAAAATATGTTGCTTAAAAAATGAAACATAAGGGGAACTCACAGAGTGGCAGTGACGACT